ATCTATCTATCTATCTATCTATCTATCTATCTATCTATCTATCTATCTAAGTTCTGAAGATCAAACTCACACTTTCATGTTTGCACAGCAAGCATTTTACCAACTGAAGTACCCCATTCAGCCCCCAAAAACCCCCTTTCTGTGGGCTTTCTCTGTAGGATGAACTGTGAGTGTTCAAAGTAAATCATGATCCCTCGGATATGACCCAAGTTGCTACACCTCCACAGGATCAGATGCTACCCCTAATCCTCAGCTCCCCAGGTCTGCAATGCTTGTGGGCTCTGGTCACTCCGGCCATGCTCTGACCAAAACAGCACTATTCATCTTCCACTCAGAGGAAGGGAAAACGGGTCCTTCCTTTCATAAAGTATGGTGCTCAAAGCATAACATCCTTTTTTTTTTTTTTAAACTAATTCATGGTCAAAATAGAATGGTGTGCTGCCAGCTGATAGTGTTTTCAGTGCTAAAGTAATCCTGTTCAGGCTATTGCAGGCGGAACTCTTTCTGCTTGAATAACACCTCCACAGGAAAGAAGACATGCCTGCAGTGGCCTCCCCTTAGGTTATCTGGAGCTAGAATCTGTGTGGTGTGTGTCACCTCCTCTCCATGACAACCTCAGAAGGTAGAATGACTTCGGCATTGTGGACTAATTCAGGCAGACTAGTTCATGGAAATATATGTGTTTCCTGCATGTGTGCGTATGAGTATCTGACTCCTATAAGTTGGGGAAGAAAATTTGAATCATTGCAAAATACGAAAAAGAAAAAGAAAAGAAAAAACAAAAACAAACAAAACCTAAACATTGGCACCTTTTCAGCTTTGCTGTCTGTCTTTCAAGTGTTCATAGCTAGTGGCCTAGCCATTCAAGAATTAAAGAAAAGGGCATCAGAAAGGATGAGAAAGGAAGGAGTGGGAAGGATAAGGAAGAGGAGGAGAGGAGAGGGAGGAAAGGAAGGGAAGGGAAAGAGAAAAAGAGGGAAGGAGGAGAAACAGGAAGCTCTCTCCACACAGTCATTCTCGATGACACAGTTCCCCACATCAGCTCTTCCCTTCCTTCTGGGCTTGAAGCCGTTCTCTTGCACCCTACATGGTTGCTCTCCCTCCTTTCTTGAAGCGTTAATGCATCCCTCCTCCTACTCACAGGATGTGAGAGGATCCCAGGAGATGTCCAGCGAGGAAAATGCTTTCTGCCCCTGCTCCGGGACCTGAGTTTGGATCCTCTAGTGCATGTGCACACCAAGGACAGCAGCAGGTGCCTGTCACCCCAGTGCTGGGAGGCGGACACAGGAGGACCCAGGGCCTTGCTGAGCAGCCAGGCTGGCTCAACCTGAAAGGGCCAGGTTCAGTGACATACTTGAATGTCAAGAAATAAGGTTGAGAGCGTTTAACAAAGACACCTGATACTGACTTCTGACCTCCTTGTGGGGTCTACACCCAACCCAAACTCACACCCAACCCACACATATACAAAATAAGTGATTTCAGTTCTTTAGACACAAAGCACACCTTGGTAAGACAGAGTGGCTGCTCTCCCTCCACTCTACTCCCGTGACCACTCCCGGTTAAAAAACAGTGAAGGCCAGAGTGGGAAAGCTAGCCTTTGCACCCACTCTGCCTAGTGTCTCGTGTCCGTCACCACCTACTCAGCCTTGTTCCTTCAATATCACCTGGCTCTAGTGACACCAGTTATGCTATGTGGGGACCATTATCATCACGTCCGAACGCACTGCTGTAGCAGCAGTTACCAACCAGGGCTGGTTTTGCATCATTAGATGCAATGTCAAGGAACTCTTGGTTGTCCCCACCCCGGGAAAGGTATGTGACTGGCATTCGGAGAACAGAGGCCCAGGTTGCCGCTCAACACTGGCCCAGAACACAGGAAGTCCCCTCAGGAGAGACCCATCCAGACTCCAGTGCCACTGGTGCTGAGGTGGAGAAACACACCCACTCGTGACCAAACACAATGCTGCTCTGCTAAATCCAGGGCCGGCTCTGTTCCCGAGAT